TTTACTTAAAGACTATTTTGTCTAATATTGGTATAGCTACTTCAGCTCTCTTTTGGTTACTATTTGCATAAAATAGCTTTTTCTATCCTTTTACTTTCAACCTATTTGTGTCTTTGGACCTAATGTGAGACTCTTGTCAAATATAAGACACCTGGTATACACACACACGCGCAAGGAAAGGTGGAAATCTGTTAGAAAACAAAACAACATGAGAGAATATTACTAAAATTAGTTAAAGGTATAAGTTGGAAGTCTGTCTTATTAGACTTTTGTTTATAATTATAATTGATAATTATAATTAAATATTGACATTGTTAGAGTAAATAATATATATTTTTTTTGAGACCGAGTTTCGCTCTTGTCACCTAGGCTGGAGTGCAGTAGCACGATCTCAGCTCACTGCATCCTCCGCCTCCCAAGTTCAAGGGATTCTACTGCCTCAGCCTCCCGAGTAGCTGGGATTACAGGTGCCTGCCACCATGCCTGGCTAATTTTTGTATTTTTCAGTAGAGACAAGGTTTCACCATGTTGGCCAGGCTGGTCTTGAACTCCTGACCTCAAGTGATCCACCCTCCTTGGCCTCCCAAAGTACTGGGATTATAGGCGTGAGCCACCATGCCCAGGCGTTAAGAGTATAAACTATAAATTAATAAATTAAAAACATAAAACACTACTATATTTTCCTAAATGTTGATTGCTTTTCTTCTGCTCACCTTATTACAATAGTCTTGCAATGAGAAAACTGCTGGAGTTTTCTATTTTATTTATTTATTTTTAAGACAAGGTCTCAGTCTGTCACCCAGGCTGGAGTGCAGTGGCACAGTCTCGGTTCACTGCAACCTCCACCTCCCAGGCTCAGGTGATCCTCCCACTGCAGCCTTCCAAATAGCTGGGACCCCAGGTGCATGCCACCATACCTGGCTAATTTTTTTTTTTTTTTGGTAGAGATGGGGTTCTGCCATGTTGCCCAGACTGATCTTGAACTCTTGAACTCAAGTGATCTGCCAGCCTCAGCCTCCCAAAGTGCTGAGATTACAGGTGTGAGCCACCAAGACTGGCTGAATTTTTGTTTGTTTAATTTTTATTTTTTTAGAGATAGAGTCTCACTGTGTCACCCAGGCTGGAGTGTAGTGGCACGATCTTGGCTCACTGCAACTTCCACCTCCCCAGTTCTAGCAATTCTCCTGCCTCAGCCTCCTGAGTAGCTGGGATTACAGATGTGCACCACCACACCCAGCTAACTTTTTTCTATTTTTAGTAGAGACGGATTTCACCACACTGGCCAGGCTGGTCTCGAACTCCTGAGCTCGGGCAATCCACCCGCCTTGGCTTCTCAAAGTGCTAGGATTGCAGGTGTTAACCACCGCGCCTGGCCTTAAAATTTTGACTGTAAGTAATATTGCATTTTCTATAAAAACATTTAAGAATTGCAAATTAGAAAATAAACCAATTCAACTTTAAATAAATAAATAGAGTCTCTTGTAGACACTTTGAAAAGTGCATTGTGGGCCGGGCGCGGTGGCTCATGCCTGTAATCCCAGCACTTTGGGAGGCCGAGGCAGGCAGATCACAAGGTCAAGAGATTAAGACCATCCTGGCCAACATGGTGAAACCCCGTCTCTACTAAAAAATACAAAAATTGACTGGGTATGGTGGCACGCACCTGTAGTCCCAGCTATTCGGGAGGCTGAGGCAGGAGAACTGCCTGAAGCTGGGAAGTGGAGGTTGCAGTAAGCCAAGATTGTGCCATTGCACTCCAGCCTGGCAACAGAGCGAAACTCCATCTCAAAAAAAAGAAAAAAAGAAAAAAAAAAGTGCATTCTGGCCGGGTGTGGTGGCCCACACCTGTAACCCTAGCACCTCTGGGAGGCCGAGGTGGGTGGATCGCCTGAGGTCAGGAGTTCGAGACCAGCCTGGCCAACACGGCGAAATCCCATCTCTACTAAAAATACAAAACTTAGCTTGGACATGGTCGGCACTCCAGCCCTGGGTGACAGGTGAAACCTGCCATCTAAAAGAGAGGAAGAAAAAATAAAAAGAAAAAGTGCATTCTGAGCCAGCACGAGTTGTTCATTTACCTTTACAATATTTTTTTTTTTTTTTTTTTTTTTTTTGAGACAGAGTCCTCGCTCAGCCGCCCAGGCGCTGGAGTGGCAGTGGCGGATCTCAGCTCACTGCAAGCCCCGCCTCCCGGTTCACGCCATTCTCCGGCCGTCAGCGCTCCTGAGTAGTTGGGACTACAGGCGCGCCACCGCGGCGCCCCGCTAGTTTTTTTTTGTATTTTTTAGTAGAGACGGCGGTTTCACCGTGTTAGCCAGGAATGGCTCGATCTCCTGACCTCGTGATCCGCCCGTCTCGGCCTCCCAAAGTGCTGGGATTACAGGCTTGAGCCACCGCGCCCGGCCTACCTTACAATGTTTTTAAGGAATGCTCTCTGCACAGCCACTTTTCTGCCCTGAGTTAGAGTTAGACAAAACAAAGGTAGGCACTTTGTGTCAATCCTTCAAGTAGCCCACCAACAAATTAGAACAGACAAAAGTCTTTGAGAATAAGGTCTTCTCTGCTCCCTCTGGAACCAGGAACCAGGGTCCTACATTGAGAACATGGGCTGCCATCTTCAAGAGTACAACCAAGCCAGGGAGGCAGGGTGGGGCAAGAGTGAGTAAAAATGCTGCAAAGCTTTTCTGCCATTTTTAGGTTGCCTCTTCCTGGATTCAGCATTCTCCTGGTTACTGCAAATCTTTTACTATTCTCCAGAGTTCTCAAAATGTTGGTTCTGACAGTTTCTTCTTACTTTTTGGTGTTTCTGTGGATGAACAAGCCCTTAGAGTTACCTACCACATGATTTAATTTTTACATTTAGATTTCTGATCCATATGGAGTTTATCCTAGTATACAGTGTGGGTTCAATTTTAATTGTTGTCAAATGGCTATTCAATTACCCCCAGTCTATTTACTAAAAAGTCTTTCTGGATGGGTGTGGTGGCTCACACCAGTAATCCCAGCACTTTGGGAGGCTGAGGCGGGTGGATCACCTGAGGTCAGGAGTTCAAGACCAGCCTGGGCAACATGGCAAAACCCCATCTTTACTAAAAATACAAAAATTAGCCAGGCGTGGTGGCTGGTGCCTGTAATCCCAGCTACTCAGGAGGCTGAGGCAGGGAGAACTGCTTGAACCCGAGAGACGGAGGTTGCAGTGAACTGAGATCCTGCCACTGCACTCCAGCTTGGGTGAGAGAGTGAGACTCTGTCTCAAAAAAAGTCTTTCTGTCATACTTGTAACGCCAGTGCTTTGAGAAGCCAAGGCAAGAGGATGGTTTGAGCCCAGGAGCTCCCGACTGCAGTGAACTATGATCACAAAAATCAAAACTAAAATGACGTTTTATAGAATGATTTAAAATGTGGTAGGGCTAGTATTTGCTTGTATTTGCTTGCTCTTCTTTTCAGGGTTTTCTTCACTTCTCTCTCTCTCTTTTTTCTGTGGTAGAATCTTACTCTGTCCACCCAGCATGGAGCACAGTGGTGTGATCATAGCTCACCGCAGCCTTGAACTCCTGGGTTCAAGTGATCCTCCCACTTCAACATCCCAAGTAGATGAGACTACAGGCACACACAACCATGCATAGCTGTTTTTTTTTTCCCGGAGAGATGGGGATCTCACTATGTTGCAGAGGCCAGTCGTTTTTTTTTTTTTTTTGAGATGGAGTCTCGCTCTGTCACCCAGGCTGAAGTGCAGTGGCACGATCTTGGCTCACTGCAAGCTCCACCTCCCAGGTTCATGCCATTCTCCTGCCTCAGCCTCCCAAGTAGCTGGGACTACAGGCACCCACCACCACGCCCGGCTAATTTTTTGTATTTTTAGTAGAGACGGGGTTTCAGCATGTTAGCCAGGATGGTCTCGATCTCCTGACCTTCTGATCTGCCCATCTCGGCCTCCCAAAGTTCTGGGATTACAGGTGTGAGCCACTGCACCTGGCCTGCACAGGCTAGTCTTGAACTCCTGGCCTCAGCAATCCTCCTGCCTCAGCCTCAAGAGTTGCTGGGATTACAAACGTGAGCCACTGCACCCAACTCACTCTTCACTGTTCTTGCTTATTTTTCAATGAAAACTTCAGAAGTGATTTGATTTTAGAAAAACCATATTTTTATTGGGATTATGTTGAATTAATTACCTTAGGAAGGAGTGATATTTCTATGATGTTTAGTTGGCCTACGCAATTATCCTTTTCTTTTTTTCTTTTTTTTTTTGAGACGGAGTCTCGCTCTGTCACCCAGGCTGGAGTGCAGTGGCGTGATCTTGGCTCACAGCAACCTCCGCCTCCCGGGCTCAAGTAATTCTCCTGCCTTAGACTCCCAAGTAGCTGGGACTACAGGCACATACCACCATGCTCGGCTAATGTTTGTTTTTTCTGTTTGTTTTTTTTTTTGTTCTTTTGTTTTTTGTTTTTTGAGATGGGGTCTCACTCTGTTGCCAGGCCGGAGTGTAGTGGCATGATCTTGGCTCACTGCAACGTCTGCCTCCCAGGTTCAAGCGATTCTCCTGCCTCAGCCTCCTAGGTAGCTGGGACTACAGGTGCACATCACCATGCCCATCTAATTTTGGTATTTTTAGCACAGACAGGGTTTCACCATGTTGGCCAGGATGGTCTCTATCTCTTGACCTTGTGATCCGCCCACCTAGCCCTGCCAAAGTGTTGGGATTACAGGCGTGAGCCACTGCACCCGGCCGTATTTTTTTTTTTCAGTAGCGACAGGGTTTCGCCATGTTGGCCAGGCTTGTCTCAAACTCCTAACCTCAGGTGATCCACCTGCCACGGCCTCCCAAAGTGCTGGAATAACAGACACGACCCACCACGCCCAGCCACTAATTATACATTTTTAAGGGTACTTCTGTGTCTTTGTGGATTGCCTAACTAGCTTTTTAATTTACTACTTTCTTATATTCTAGGAAGCATGGGCATGGGGGCAGATAGAAGGGTAAAAAATAAGAGTATCCATACCTGCAGATGCCTGTGCCTGGGCATCAGTGTGGCGCTGGCAGACTCTACTCAAGAATTCACTCACTTGACGTAGGGAAAGGGCATTATGCAGTGTTTCCAGAGGGTAGATGGTAGGCACCATGGAACACCCTTCAAATCCTGTTTGAAAAGAGATGGGCAAAGTCAATGTTATTCCTGCCAGATATACCCCAACTGGCCAAGGAAGCATGGAGAGTCCCTGAGAACCATCAGGAGAGTCCGTGGCTTTTGGAGTGTGGGGTATCCAAGACTCTTAGGAGAGGGAACTCTTTAGAGGCCTTAGGGGAGTCTGTTTTTCTCACTTTCAGATTTCCTAAAACATCTACCTGCTAGGGCCTCCAGGTGAATCAAATCACCTCTCATGCTACCTATGGAGAGCTTGCAATGTCCCATGGAAAAATAAACAGAATCCCAGTAGGGTAAGCACCAACATTGTTCTCACACTTTCTGGGGGAATAAAACAAGGATCCAGAGGTAAAGGGTGAAACTGCAGATCTAACATGAGATAGGGAGGTCAGGGAACTGGGAAGAAACAGCAGATTTCGGGTATCATGAATAAGAGAACCAGATTAAGGAGAAGGACATGGAATCTGAGAAGGGGTTCATGCAAATTTAGGATGTCGGTAGAAAGGCTAGAATACTTGGATGCAAACTGGAGGGCATGCAATACACATGAAGCTCAGCCCAGGAAAACCACATGCATGAACAGGATGGGGATGGAAGTTCTTTCTTGATCGTTTCCATCATATCAAAGCTTCACCCTTCTGATCTACTGGAAAACCCCAGACTTGCTAGGATCTTTGTACTTCATCAGAAAAATGAGGCAAATGCCCTAGAAAAAAGAAAAAGCACTGATTTTCTGCTCGAAACTCAAGAATTCCAATGTAGGTCTATCAGTATGGGTAGGGCCAAGGGTAAACATAAATATGTAACCCTAATACTAGGCACTGGTGATGGAAAAAATGTCCCCAATGGAGGATCAAGAAAAACACATCCCAACCACTTTTTCAGTCCCCAATCTTTCCTATGCCTCCTCAACATCTCCTTAAAGGGACTAAGGATATGCGGGACAACAATGTCTATGCAAGACAGCTTCCCATTCACCAGTGACTAAAGCCTGTAACTCAAAAGGGTTATAACCTGACCATCTTCTAAGCTCTGTCCTTTGTTTGCCCCAAGGATACAATTGAGGCTTCTGTGCCTCAATTTCCCCCATGATCTTGTGGCAGGAGGGCAGGAAAGTTACTGTCTCTAGCTCCTCAGAGTGGCTTGAAAAACATTTGGATTTGAAGATGGTGGCAGTAGAGGGTTAGAGTGATAAGAACAGATTCCAAGGCAAGAGATTACTCCTGTATTGAGCAGAATTGGGGGATGAGTAACATTAGGGGGTGGTGAGAAAGGAGAATAGGAAGGGATGAGCAGCCAATGCTACAGCTACCAGGCAGTCCGGCCCCAATCCCATCCAAGCCACTAAATGCAAGTTACATAACCTCAGGGCAAACAGGAGAAAGAAACAGGTGGGCTCTCCTGCCAGAAGTGCAATAAGCAAAGCAGTCAGTCCCAGCCAGGGTAGTGGCAGCAGCCAGCTTGGTGGCAAGGGGTACCGTAGAGGCACTCGGGATCATCCTGGCCTGAGCGCAGCCAGTTCCGGAAGAGGCGCAGGTGGTAGGAGCACTGGTGCAGGTGATGCGCCAGCGTGGCATCCAAGGAGACTGGCCGGCCCCCTGTACAGTCAGAGGAAAAACTGCGCAGCAACCGGACCACAGGGTGCTGGTCATCCAGCAGCTCTGGAGGGGGTGAGGGGACCACGGCAGGAAGCACAAAGATAGAGAAAGAGAAGAGGGAGAGACAATGAGGGGGGCACTGACTAGCACAAGCATTACTGGGAGGTGGGGACACTCAGATCCAAGGTGAGCTAAGAGAGAAGCAGAGATGGTCAGAGCCACTGGGCATCTCTTGCAGGGAAGAAGAGTGGTGTCATCACACAACGAGTCTGAAAGAAGGGATAAGTGAGACCTCATCATACAGCAATGTCCTCCCCTTCCTCCTTGAGCATAATTGAGTCGGTGCTTGTAGACAGCAGTCACATCGTTGTGAACAGGGGTGACCTGGCAGTTTTGTGGCTGGGAGGCTTGACTACAGCGTAAGGATCCCTCATCATTGGATGAACCCTACTTAGGGCCTGCATTCTCAGGTGAATGGATTTATGAAGTAGGGATAAAAATGAAAAGTTCAAAGTCACTCAGAGTGTCAAGGATAGCATTGAGTATCAAGATAGTCAAGCTAAAAAGGCTGTTTTTTAGGGCAGGTCTTCTGGACCACACTCTAAGATAGCCAAAGACAGGGATGGTATTAGGCAGCTGGCACAGGAGACTGACAGGAAACCAGATGTAGAACTCGTTTAAAACGATATGTGTGGAAAATGGAATCAATATGTGAAAATACCAATACTGACAAACTATCCTTGACCTTACTGTTGTTTAAACAATCACTTAAAAAAAAAAAGTACACATAAAACTCAGGACTTAGAGATACTGTATCCATTACGAAGCTGAAAGTTAGATAAAATTTTACATTTTCTTCCCACTGCTGGTGAGTCTAACTGCACGTTTTTCAGCTGGTGAGTAGAAAAGCTTTGATTCTGAACCCCTCATTTTAGCTACTTGGCAAACTTTGTGGATGCATGTAATTGAGCTACAAAAGGTTGAAAGCAGTCAAAGGCATGCGGAGCCGGGTGTAAGAGGAACAACAGGGAAAGATCTTAGAGAAAAGGTATGGGATCTTAAGACATGATGTGAGGATGGACAAGAACTTGAGTACAGGATGTTGGTATAGAGAAGGTAGAATCAAGGCAGCTGAGGATGACTGCTCAAAACTCCCAGACCAGAACTGGCTCCACAAGGTGATCCCATGAGACTGTGGTCTTCAGAGACCTTAGCTTGGATGTCAGGACAGATTTCAGCTCTACCTAGGCTAGTCTTGTGAGCACTAACTGTATGTACCAACGGTCACATAGTTACATGGGTCCCTAGAAGATAATGGGCTTGACGAATCCAGTGGTCACACGCTGACATTCGGGATGAGCGTGAGCCACAGTCTTTCCCACTTTATTAATTTACTTTGGTGAGTTCAGTGTGCAGTTTAGTAACAGGCTATACTTGTGTGCTGGATATAGTTACAGGATATAACAGCAGCTTATCAGGGACAGAGGCAGGGATAGGCTGAGGCCTGCTCTCCCATCAAAGTGTGAAGACACACTGCCTTGCCTCTTTTCCAAAGCCAGGTCCAGTATGTCTAGCTGCTGTTTCAAAGCCAGATATCATGGCAAGGAGATGGTGATGACAGAGCTGCTGTGACTTATCTGCAACTACAGACAAAACATCCACTTTGTAATTGCTGGTCAGTCAAGCAAGATCTTGGCCATGGAGGAGAGCCTTCATATTTCTTAAGGGTCAAATTGAATCTACATAATCTTCCTCAGCAAGTGACATACAGTTCCAAATTTCTGCTGTTGTCAACAGGTAGAACCCAGATTCTGGCTTCTTAAGCATATTAGCCTCCAAGCTCCAGCACAAGAAAAACAAAGGAGGCCACAAGACCCCTGAGGAAGTGTGCAGGGTATTGGAGATCTTCAATTTGTTTTCCTGCACAATACCTGCATTATCCAGCTCTTTTTTCCTCACCTTTTGGCAGAATTAAATCTTCTTCAATGGGTGAGGCTGCTAAACAGGGCTTCGGGGAGCTGGAGGTACATAGGTCTGAGGGTCTGTTTTATGGACTTGGGTCTTTTCTTATGGCACCTAAGAACTAGGAGATATGTGATTTAGCTCTGATTTGAGTAGCCCACGTTCCTCGTACTATACTGTGGACCCTAAGTCCAAGTCCCAGGCTGTGCTATTGATGCATCAGGTTCTATTCTGGAGATGGCTGTGGCACATGAAGGACAGAAGAGCTTGAAGCTCAATGAGCGGGTACACCCATGAGGCTCTGAATGGGAACTCCTGCCACAGGCACAACTGGGAGCCTGGGGGCAGGGATAAACTGAGCCAGCATAGGCTAGTCAACCTAGGGAGAGATTTCAGCAGTGCCTTGTGAAGATGTACAACCTGACTGGGCTAAAATCTAGCAGCTGTCACTTGCTAGGCAATAGGAGATTAGCACATAGAGGTTTTCTAGTCTCATTTTACTTCCCTCAGAGAGTCTTAGCTCTTGAATAGAAGAAAACCATGCCTAAAAAACTAGATTTACCTTGAAGACAAAATATAATACAGAGAGAAAAATAAGGATACCAAGGATAAAACTTTGAAAGAGAGTGAGCCTCGGTTCTCCTGCTATACCCTACAAAGACACCATACCCCTCAATTTATGGTTTACAGAGATCTCCAGGCCCTCCTACCGCAGTGTGGGCAGACCCGGTTCTTCAATGTTCTTAAAATATTATTCATTCCTAAGCTCCCCCGGAATCCCCAGCAGACATCTCAACTCTTCAAACTTCTCTGCGATAGCTTTACCATAGGTAGGCTGGTGCCACATGGAAACTACACTTAAAAACTCAAGGTACGGTCCTTTTTCTTTTACCTACTACCTCCTACTCCTTTCTTTTTATTTTTTATCCCAAAGCAACCTGGGCTCTTGTTTTCTAGGCCCAGGCACTAGGTTAGTAGTAACATAAAGCAAATGTCAGGAGCACAAGAGCCACACAAAATACACATAATGGCAGGAGAAAGAAATATGGAGATGGGAAACTATATACTCAAGACTAACATCCATATAAGTAGGCTTAGGAGCTGGGAACTGCAGTGTTGCTCCAAAAGAGGAACAAACTAGTCATCCACATCCACCCCAACAAAAGAGTTGGAGAAAAAACAGAAAGATCAAAGTTATATAAGCTGAGGAATTGGGGGTATGGGGGAAGAGAAGAAATGGAATCAATCTAGGAAACACTATTCCCATTCTAAGAAGGGGAACCATCATATCTGTACACAGCCTGGCAGTCATGTGATAGGAAAGGGAGAGGTTTAATCAGTGTTTTGGTGGTGATGCTGACAGAAGTGACATAATGGTGATGACGGTGATTATGGAAGTAAGACCCTGAGTTGCCACAGGGATGGGGCAGCCAGGCTGCAACCAAGACTAAGGCTGTCACAAGGAAACCATCCCAGGAGGGACACTTAGTGAGTAGCTCATTCAGAGACAGCAGGGTGTCAACACAGTGGAAGGAGAGGCAAAGTCAGTGTCAAAACTCAGAGTCGAGTGTCTAGAGGTGACATGGTGAGGAGGAATGACATTGAGTCAGAAGCAAACGTACCGTTAGTCGGATGCTTTGCAAACGACACAGAAAATCGTTTTACGGCCGGGACAAACAAGAGCTCTGGGGAGAAAAGACATCATGGGGATTATACCCACCCTTGTCCCCACCCTCTGTTCTGGAGTTTGCCCACAAGATAGTCTGTTCTTTAAAGTTAGTTATCTGTCCTGCTCCCCTCCCCTTCCCTGGGATTTCTAACTAACACACGTCAATCTCTTTTCCTTTGGTAAATCTCTTAGGAATCTATGTGTCATCTCTACTACAATACACCCTTACAAACAACCCTAATTTTACCACTGTGTCCTCTTTCTGGTCATTTGGAAATAAAATCTTCACAGAAATTTTCATCCCTTCCCCCAGTCTCTTTCCATATTATCTTTTCTGCCTTAGCTGAGCAACATTCCCTTCCCTAAACCCAATTTGCTGGATTTTATTTGAGGTTTCACTACATTCTTCCCAATCATGCATCATCCTCCTTGGTCCTTACCCCTACAGGCCAGAATCCAGGAAAGAGTACAAACTGATGCAGCAGGACTGTTATGTGGGAGATTATGAAGGGATAAGCATAAATAAGTAGTATTTTTATGGCAAGAGGGAATGCAAATGGAGGGGTGGAAGGGGTCCTGGTGCCTTCTCCTATCTATTACTGATGAAGAAAACTTGTTACAAGGCCAGTGTCATCTTAAGCATGAATAGTTCTTGAGCTATGTCCTTGCTGAGAGACAAGTGAAAAAAGGAGTTATCCCCCAAAACCCACCCACATACCATCTCGGTGCTTCAGACTGGCAGGTGGTAGCTCTTTGCCATGGCTGTGGGCGTAGTCCTGAAGATTCGGGGCGCTGGAGGAGCCACCCAGCACTGTGGTGCTGAACAGCCCTGTGCACTGTGAGCCTGCAAGGCCGGGAGTGTGTTAGTAGCCACGTAAAGCCACAACTATCACACAGAACTATACACAACTTCACATGATAACATCAAGACACACACAGCCATTCAGAGCCACCACCATGTGGCCATTCCACATAACCACAAATGGCTTTACACTTCTGCATAGTCACAGTGGGCAAGCAAAAGGGGGATTCTTCTGAAGAGCTACATGGCAGAGACAAGAGGCCACTACAAATGCAGGGTTAGTCATGTTAGGGAATTCAACACACAGAAAGGGATAGACTGTGCTCTCCAGGTGGCTTTCAGAAATGCTCAAATTATAGGTAGGTCCCTCTAGATTCCCCCTAGATTTAATTGGACACCCTTTACCCTGGATATATAGCTTAAGAAACTCAGAAATCTAGTCCTTGTAGGTTTGAAAGGAAAAGCCTTTGACTGAAGCTAGAGACTGATTCTGAACACTCAGCTGGCACCCTTCCGATCCTTCCTAAGCTTTTCATCCAACATCCCCTCCCTTCAGGCCTTTTTACCTTTCCCAAGAATGAAAGTATGAGGCTCATAATTTTTTTCTTTTTTTAAGACAGGATCTAACTCTGTTGCCCAGGCCGGAGTGCAGTGGCACAATCATAGCACGCTGCAGCCTTTGTCTCCCAGGCTCAAGTGATCCTCCCACCTCAGCTTCCCAAGTAGATGAGATTGCCAGCACATGCCACCTTGCCTGGACAATTTTTTTATTTTTTGTAGAAACGAGGTCTCACTATGTTGCCCAGTTGGTCTCTAACTCCTGAGCTCAAGTGACCCTCCCACCTTGGCCTCCCATAATGCTGGGATTAAAGGTGTGAGCCACAACCCCCCGCCTCATTGAATGTTTTAAGCTAGAAGGGACTCAGAGATCATCCAGTTCAACTTTCTTATTTTAGAGATGAAGAAACTGAGATCCAAAAGGGACCTCCTTTGCTCAAAGTCACACAGTTCTTTAGCAGCTAAGCTGGACTAGAATCCAGGTCTCCTGACTCTGAGGACCAACTGTATTGTTAGAAAATAAATAACTATTTTTCAGGAACCAGCACAGTTTCTGAAATTAACATGGACAGAAATTGAAGGGCATGTGAAGAATCAGTTGATTATATGTAAAGCATGCCTATTATGTGATGAGCACCCTACTAAGAAGGAATACAGGAAATAACAACAAAAAGATATGTTTTTTCTGCTCTCAAAAGTGTATTATCTCATAAGCCTATGCTCAAAGCCAGTTGCCCACACATATAAATTCAAAGAAAGCAAAGAGAACTCCGTTGCCAATGAGAGGATTAAATAAAATTTGAATATCCTCTGAAGTATGGAATAAATCAGACCAGTCACTGTTTCCAACAGCTGATCTAGAGGAGGGTTAGGATTCGATGGTTCCTTCTCCTACTACAGCCTATAAGGACAGAGTGGTCAAGAAGAAACAAGACTGACACCCAAGTTCTCAGGATTTGCCTCCCTATTTCCAAATCCATCTTAGCCAAGACCCTGGATTTGGCTTGTGACTTAACATTCATAGGGTTTCCCTATGGATGGAGTGGAAAGGAGTTCAATTCCCTTGAGGCCACCAAGAAGGGACCATGGTTTCAGGGGTCCCAGGATTTC